TACAGTGTAATTTTCCGACGAAGGGTGGTCAATTGGCCACCCTTACAAGAATGTAGCTTCGCCCTTGTAGGTGTGTATACCTTGAAAATGATTATATAAATAATTTTGCACCTTAAACACAAAAAAACTTTTGGGGCACTAATTGAACAAAATAGTGGTGCCCACGTTAAAATTCTAGGTCCGCCTCGCCCCCACACACCCTTTAATTTCTTTTTCTTTTTAATTGTCAGATATGTAATGAATTTAACGTGCATGTGTATGTGTTTTTAATATATAATCTTATTATTATGGAACACAAGGGATGTTAAATGAATTTCATGTCTTCTGATCTGAAAATTTGATGAATCAACCGAAGGCAGTGATTCAGAGAGGAAAAGGTTGAGCCACACCTAAATAGAGTGATATCAGATCTCTTTGCAAGACTCATGTGTTTAACTTTTAGTCCTTTTCTCTTCAAAATAATACTACTTCAATATGGATTTTTGCATTTGTCTTGTCAAAGAGGTGGGCCAGATACAAAGAAACAGGTTATCAGAAGGACAAAAAGTTTGAATTGATACAATTCCATAAGTAGTGTTAAACCAAATCATCATGAGTCCAAGCTGCAAAATTATGCTAATAATTTTATTGAAAATTAACAATTAAAGATCTCACATACATATTTGACATATATCTTGTATAACAACTTTATTACTTACAAAATTATAGTACATGCCAATAGTTATTACTAGTAATCATGAGGTTATGAGTTGAAACACCTTAAGAAAATCTTATATATGCACAAAAGAAAAATGGAGAATACAACAGAAACATGTCTTAAATTCTAGTGACTGCATTTTAAAATGGGTGGTTTGCACAAATAAGACATTTTGGTGCCGCTCTTGATTTTTTGACCTCGTTCGTCTTCTAGGCAGAACAACATGTTTAACAAGTGTTGTTCTTCGCTTGCCTCGAGGGCAACACTCTAAAATTATAGTAACATATTATCAGAACCCAAAAATTTTACCACATGCGTCGTGATGGCACTTAATCTCTAAGGCTAGGTAAGCCGATTTCAGTTACATTTTTTTAAAGCCATTTTTTTTTAATTAAATAAGTAATCAAAACTAACAGCGGAACAAATATAAAAAATACAACCTCTCAAAACTGGTAGTACTGAGCCACGAACTCTAACTGAATACATGGGATGATCACGAAGACCGAATATACAATACTGTTTGATTCAAAATTAACAGTACAATGAAATAAAAAGACTCCAAGGGACTACGACGACCAAGCAACTCTACCTTGAATCCTTATGATCCCGCTTTAACTCTGCTCAAGTCCGATATCTCCAATACCTGGCTCTGCACAAAAATGTGCAGAAGTGTAGTATGAGTAAGACAATAAAACAACCCATGATATGCACAATAAGACAATAAAATCACCATTTAATATCGCTTAATAATTAATAAATATAATTACACACGGTTAAATCAAGTTCTTCAATTAAATATCTTTCACATATAATTCTAACGAATAAAACTCTTTTTCAAATATATTTTCGTCGAATTAATATTTTTCAAATATAATTCTTTCATATAATTCTTCTTGAATAAAAATCCTTTCAAATAAATATTTTGAATATAATTTTTTCGATTAAAGAGTCACCATGTGACACCTCATTTCAAAATCATAAAAATACGGGTCTCAGTCCATTTTCATATTTTTCATAAACACGGGTCTCAACCCATTTTTCATATTTTCACGGCACCTCGTGCCCATAATTAAATCATCATGTTTTTCCGGCACCTCCTGCCCTCATTTCATATCACAACTGCATGGACAATTCACGTGCCAAATATCATTATCATTTCATCACATCACCTCGTGCCAACATTTTATATTACAACTGCACGGACAATTCACGTGCCAAATATCCTCATTATTTACTCACGGCACCTCGTGCCCACATTTTATTTTATAATCCGCCTGGCAATAGCCACAGGCTCTCAATTTCAACATAAATCATATTGTTATCAATTTACCAATAACAAGACAAATTGCACAAGGTATAAAAATAAACACAAGAAAATCATAACATCACATGAAAATCATCAACGCCACAACCCCCACATCATCACATATCGTCCAGACAATATCAATAGCCACCCTTATCGCTCCTATTGCCATCCTTATCGCTCCTATAGCCACCCTTATCGCTCCGCCCAGACAATATTCCAACAACACAATAATAGTGAAATGCCACCCTTATACCCACATAATATCAACGGTGAAATGCCACCCTTATCTCCTTAAAATAATAATTCACACAACACAATAATTTACACGGTAACATAATAAAATCAATTCACATTATAGTTTGCCCAATGGCCACAACAAATTTCAAGGATATAACAAAATCAATTAATTTCACAACAAATAGCCAAAAGCTCCACACAATGTGTACAACATCCAAAAATAACCAATAGAGATAGAAATTACTCAACATAAAGCAAAGTCTTCATTAAATTTAAATTTTTAATAATTATATAAATACCTCATCTTAAGCTCGTTTAATTAATTATTTACAGAGAAAAAATCCATAATGTAATTAAATTACAATAATTATCAAACCAACAAATTCACGAATTACATAAATAATCAAGTAACAATCACATCAAATTGTCATATAACAACAGATTCAACAACAACAAGGATTTAGGCGTGGCAAACAGATGATTTAATACTTATCCACGATTACCCAATTTACTACACAATAATGCCTAAGACTTTAATTCAATAAAAATTTGTACATATAAGCCCGAGTACGTACTCTTCACCTCGCGTACACGGCTTTTCACATTTCACAAATGGCACATAAGACTCGATGCCTAAGGGGTAATTCCCCCACTCGAGGTTAAGCAAGACACTTACCTTTTTGAAGTTAGGCCGATATTCCAAAATAGTCTTCTTTCTTGAATTGACCTCCGGACAGCTCAAATCTATCCAAATTAATTGCACAACCTCATTAAAATTCATCGGAAACAATTCCGGATAATAATACGTCGACTTAAAAATTTATTCCAAAAAGTCAATAAAAGTCAACGCGGGACCCGCCCCTCGGAACCCGACATAATTTTCATGAAATCCGAACACCCATTCCGATACGAGTTCAACGATAGCAATTTTATCGAATTCCAATAATAACTCGACCTTCAAATCTTAATTTTTTGTTTTTGGAAGATTTTACAAAAATCTTGATTTTCCTCCATCAAATCCGAATTAAATGATGGATTCAAAGGCATAATCATGGAAATTAATCAAAAATGGATAAGAAACACTTACCCCAAACACCCACACAAGAATCTCTCCAAAAATCGCCTTCCACCGAGCTCCCAATTTGATTTTGTGTTATGAGCTCAAACCCCCATTTTTGGGACTTTTAATTCTGCCCAGGCGTCAAAGCATCGCGATCGAGGAAGAACGAATACGATCGCGTAGAAGGAAAGTGGCTACTACCCAAAAGGTGTTACGCGATCTCGGACAGAGTTGTGCGATCGCGAAGAAGGAAAATCTGGTGCCCACGAATTGAGCTACGCGAACGCGTAAAGAAGCAGGCGAACGCGAAAGAGGGAAAGGCATACGTACGCGTTCACGAACAGAAGAATGCGAACGCGTAGAGGAAATGATCACCAGTCCCCAGCTCACAGTTTCTACTACGCGAATGCGAATGTGGAGCTGCGAACGCGAAGAAGGGAAAGGCAGACCTTCGCGATCGCGGATGGAGGCTCGCGAATGCATAGAACAAATAATTCCTCCTACACAATAACACTTCGCAAACACGAAGGAGATGACGTGATCGCAATGAAAGAAACCAGATGACATATTCAGCAGTTCAAAAATAGAAGAAAATGGCCCGTAGCCCATCCGAAACACACTCGAGGCCCCCGGGACCCGTCCAATCATACAAACCAGTCTCATAACATAACACAAACTTGTTCGAGACCTCAAGTCATATCAAATAACATCGAAATTATGAATCGCACCCTAATTCAAACTTAATGAACTTCGAAACTTTAACTTCTACAATCGATGCCGAAACGTACAAATCACGTCCGATTGTCCTCAAATTTTGCACACAAGTCATAATTGACATTATGGACCTACTCCAACTTCCAGAATCGGATTCCGGCCCTGATATCAAAAAGTTCACTTCCGGTCCAAATCTCCAAAAATTTGACTTTCACCATTTCAAGCCTAAATCAGCTACAGACCTCAGATTCACAGTCCGGACACGTTCCTAAGTCTAAAATCACCCAATGGAGCTAACAGAACCGACGGAACTCCATTCCGAAGTCGTCTTTACACAGTTTGGACTACAGTTAAAATCCTAAGACTTAAGCTTCCGTTTTAGGGACCGAGTGTCCCAAATCACTCTGAATCATCCGGTAACTGAATTCAACCATGCACGCAAGTCAATACACGTAATACGAAGCTGCTCAAGTCCTTATGCCGCCGAACGAGACTTAAATTCTCGAAACGACAAGTCAAGTCGTTACATTCTTCACCTCTTAAACAAACGTTCATCCTCGAACGTGCTAAGAATTATTCTGAGGTTACCAAATTGATGATTTTTACTTGGCCAAATAGGTGTACGGCCCCTTAAACTTGGCTCCAGTTTTTATTTTGACACCTTAACTTAGCTCTTTTCCTATTGAACACTTTAGCTGTACTTTGGACTATACCATTTACACACAATGCATGACCGGACTGTAAAAACTTAAGCGTGTATTTTTAAATGCTTCCCACGTGGAATAACATACCAATAATAGTTTGACACGTGTTTATTTATCCAGGTCGGATAAAAAACCTCGTTTTTACCTTACTAGATACCTCGCCTCACTTAATCGATCTTCCACCCAAAATCCCCTTTCTTTACTAATACAGGTAATTGTTTGCTTATTTTGACCATGGTGGTGAGTGGAGTTGGTCGTGACTGAAGTTTCGAGGGTCTAGACATGTCTGCAGACGAATATATTCTTGTCGATTTTTACCATGGTGGACATATTATCAAGGATCCTGTCCCGAGATATGTAGGAGAAAGGGGTGAGGATGGTCACATGATAGACAAGGACCACTTTTCTCTTTTTGAGCTTCTGTCCTACACAAAGGATATGGGTTATGCTGAGGTAGAGGGTTTTTATTTAATTAATCCTAAATCTAATGACTTTGTTTTGATTGAAAATGATGAACAACTATATAATATAGTTTGTCACCTTAATCATCTTGATCATTTATATTTGTATATTAAGCATGTAGTTAATGAGCCTGTGTTGCTTGATGAGACTGTCCCATATGGCCTTTTATGTGGGCCAGAAGTTGTTGAACCAAGTGAAAATACATTAAATAAAGAGGCTAGGGCAACATCTACTGTTCCAGAGGATATAGAAGTCCAAGAAAGTACTACATATAACACATCTATGCCTGAAAAAAATCTAGCTGATGTTGGGGTTACAGGTGAGAATTTACAAGGGGTTGAAGAAACAACAAACATAGATGCTAATTTGGCATCAGATCTGTCAAGTAGTGAGTCTGAATTAGATAACATTCCTGATGAAGATGATAGTGATGTGAATGAAGAGCTCACTTCATTAAGGCATGAAAGAAGAAAGAAGAAAGAAGAAGAAAAAAATAGAAGAAACAAAGAAAGAAACCTACTCCAACTAAAGAGATTATTTTGGGAGAAACTGGAATAGATAAAGGCTTTGAGGATATTGGCAGACCATCTAAGAAGGACAGGTTTGCTGGAAAATTAGGAGGGGATGAAGACTACTACACCAGTTCTGATATTGGAAGTGATGATAACACAGATGAGTTAGATGTTTTAGCTGAAAGGGGTATTGGCTTACCTCTTAGAAGGAGAAGTAAAAAGGTAAGGTTTGACCCTGACTGTTACCTTGCTATTTTTGAGCTTGGTATGGTATTTGAAAATGCTATAGATTTTAGAAAAGCAGTAGCCTCATATGCTGTGGAGAACAAAGTGCAACTAACAATTAGGCCTAATGAAAAGGATAAGGTTAGAGTTAAGTGTAAAGGAGCCCAGTGTATCTGGGAATTGTATGCAAGCAATTATGGAGATTCATGTGACTTTACTGTGAACAAGTACCATCCAGCTCATAAGTGCAACACCAAAAATAAGAACGAATTATGTACTTCTAAGTACATTGCCAATAAGTATAAAGATAGGATTATTTTCCACCCAAATATTAAGTTGTGGGAGACTCAGGATTTGGTGAGGGATAAGTTAGGTTTGTATGTTGGAAGGACTATTTGTTACAGGGCTAAGTGTAGGGTGATAAGTCAATTCATGGGTGACTGGAGGATGGAACTTAACAGACTTGCTGATTATGCTGATATTATTAAGCAAACAAATCCTGGGAGTTCATGCTGGATCAGAAGAGATAGTGAGACCATTCCTAGCAAGGATCTGTTTGTCTATTTCTATCTATGTTTAGATGCTTTGAAAAAAGGATGGTTAGAAGGGTGCAGAAGGATTATAGGATTTGATGGTTGTTTTCTAAAGGGAATCTGCAAGGGTGAGTTACTTGTTGCAGTTGGTAGAAATGGGAACAATCAAATATTTCCTATTGCATGGGCTGTAGTTGATCAAGAGACAAAACACTCCTAGAGCTGGTTCATCACGTGTTTGATTGCAGATTTACAATTGGGATATGATGTTGGCTTAATTGTTATGTCAGATATGCAAAAGGTAAAGTTACAATCAACTTTTAATTTTTCTTTTTCCTGCTTTATATATACTGTTCACTAACAATTATTACTATTTTTTGTAGGGACTAGTACCAACTATAAGGGAATTACTACCAATGGTAGAACACGGAATGTGTGCTAGACACATTTGGTCTAACTGGTCCAAGAACTGGAGAGGTGAAGAAAGGAGGAAACAATTCTGGAGATATGCCAAAGCATCTTATGAAGTAAAATTCAAGGAAGAACTGGAAGCAATGAATAATCTTGGTTATAAGATATGTGAAGACTTGTTGAAGTATGATAAAGAGTATTGATGTAGGGTATACTTTAGAGAAGATTCAAAGTGTGATGTCATTGAGAATAACATGTGTGAAACATTCAATTCCTGGATAGTAGGTCCTAGGCACAAGTTTGTTATAACTATGTTGGAAGAAATTAGACATAAAATCATGAATATGACCATTGAAATGAGGAAGTTTGCTGAGACTTGGGTTACTGACATTGCACCAATGGCTAGGATGATACTGGAAGAGAACAAAGCCCTTTCTAGGAGGTGTAAGGTTATGTGGAATGCAGAACATGGGTTTGACGTTGATGAAGGCGTATATAGATTCATTGTTGATTTTAGGACCATGACATGTACTTGTAGATCATGGATGTTGAGGGGCATTCTATGTCAACATGCAGTATGTGAATTCTATGATAGAGAAATGGACCCAGATGATTATGTTGCCCACTGGTATAGGAAGGAAACTTTCCTTAAAGCTTACCAACATTTCATTCAACCAATTCCCAACATGAAGATGCGGTCGGATTCAACAAATCCATCTATAGAGCCTCTGGAACCTAAACCTATGCCAGGTGGACCAAAGAGATGTAGGAGAAAAGCGAAGGATGAACCAAGAAACAAATATGGTAAACTATCAAAGAAAGGGGTAAAGATGTCTTGTTCAAACTGCCAACAAACAGGACACAACAAATCTGGATGCATGGAAGGGGTAAGTTCTGATATTTGTAATTCTGTCTTTTACATTCTTTTTTTGCAATTCTGATATTCTTTTTTTTTACTTTTGTGAGCATGTTCCAAGAAGTACTACTCAACAAAGTCAAAACATGCCACCACCTCCACCAAGATCATCTCAAGAAATACCATCTAAACAAAGCAATCCATCCTCTATATGTGAGGATACAAGTGTTGTCAAAAGACAAAGAAACAACCAATCAACTGGGCTTGGTAGAGGAAGAGGAAGAGGCCATGGACTTGGTAGGGGAAAAGGAAGAGGAACTAAACTAGGAGGAGGCTCGGCTAATGCAGTAACCATTAGACATAAAAGGCCAAGGCATACTGGTTTTGGGATTTTCACTGACACTATGACTGGAACTACTATCCTGAATGTAAGAGTGTATAGTTTATTATAATGCAGTTTTGTGGGCTGGAATTATTCTATTTTTTACTAATTCATTGTATTTTACAGCCTGGTATATCATCTGAGAGAGTCATATCAGCTGGGACATTCAAGGATACATCTGCAACTAACATAGACATTGGATTTAAGCCCCCCGGATTGAAGTTTAAAGGGCAAATAGGTGTACGGCCCCTTAAACTTGGCTCCAGTTTCCATTTTGACACATTAACTAAGCCCATTACCTATTGAACACTTTAATATTATATAAAGTGATCTATTGAACACTTTACTCATAACCAGTAAAAATAATAAGGTGCGTGTAATTCACACATGAATGACTTAGCAAAATGACAAATAAGAGGGAGACACGTGGCATTTGGGTCCAAATAGTCAAAAAGAAGTTTTGAAAACAAAAAAGATTTATTTTAAACACCCCCTCCCACCGTCACCTTCTTCCCAACCACCCCCTTTCTTTTTTTCATTCTATGGAATCCCACCAGCCCCTTCCATAGAAACCCAACTCCGCCTTCCCCAATCTCCTTGGCTCTTTAACCACCAGAAGACTACCGTTTTCATCTGCCAAAAGGAAAAAATACAGGTACCGTTTTTGGATTTTCAGATCTGGGGAAGGGAGAAATTTATGTCAATTTTTTTTCTTTCTTTTTTGGGTTGAAAATTCCTTCTTTTAGGTAACTGGAGAAGAAAAAATCCAAGTTGAGAAAAAAAGGGAAGAAACAAAAAAGAATTCGGCGATTCTAGCAACCACCGGCCATTGCTCATTTCCTTTCCTCCTTCATCTCTATTATTCTGTTTCGTTGTTGTTTTAACTGATAAAAGAGCAGAACTGAAATAAGTAGCCGGACATTTAATATTTCGGGGGCTACCATTAAAATAGTTTTCACAACACATAATGAACCCTCATACCGGTAGGGCATATAATTCATAAAATTGGAATCAATTATTCCAAAATACATCGAACCCACTGTAATGAATAATAAAAGTTACTTTTGGACTTATAGTCCTCAATGGTGCCCAAAAATAAAAATGACAGATACGGGCTCACATCTTCAAATCTCCCAACAGGGATAAACATATAAGTGGGTCACGAAATTACGAAACTCACCCATAAGCGGAGCATAATAGGCGGACTCACCTCAACATTCAGAACCGAATCAAATTAAGGGAAAATATCCTTTTATAACAAAATCAGGATCGTACCTGTAACGACACCATCTGGTGTATTGGCCTCAGCCAAATCATAGAGATTATATCAACGGGTCGGGCCTCCACCTCTTAGGCGCCCACTAACCGCTTGTCTTCCACCTCTAGCTAACTGTGCACGTGAAGTATCAACTGGAATAAAGCTTGTAGTTGGAGTGTTCTGATGAAATCCACCCCTCCCAAGTCTGGGACAATCTCTCATGATATGCCTAGTATCACCACACTCATAACAATCCCTCTGAGGTCGCGGCTGCTCATACTGAGTCTGTGCCGGATAACTGGAATAACCACTATAAG